CCGTACATCTCCACCATGCTGCGTGCCTAATACAACCCCTGCGGCGGCTGTACGTGCCAGCGACCAGATACGAGGCTTCTCCGATGCCTCAAAGTGAGAGAGTGCCACAGTGTTGATAGAGGTGGACTGAGGTGAGGGCTGTTGCTGCTGTGGTTTGGAGCTCAGAGGATCCAGGTAGTCAGGGTTCAGAGCCCCCAAACTCTTTAGACCACAGGGAAAAGATGGGAAGTTTGAGTGGAGAGGGAGGTCAGGGTTACAGTCTCTCTTTGGAGGGGAGGAAGTCGAGAGGTCATCCTGACCTGATTTCTCACAGTCACTGTCCAGCTTGTCACAGTCCTCGTCCTCTATGTCATCCAGGTCACTGAACTGCAGGTCCCGCTCATCCTTACTGTCTTTGGAGTCTGTGCAAGAGCAGTGAGAAATATTCAGCGGGCACTCACATGCATTTACAAACAGTCTAATACTTTTTTCTTTTAATTTACAGAATTTAATTTAGCTGAGAAGTGTTATGAGGTACCTTTGGTAATACAGTCTGGGTCACTCTTATTGAGGTCTTCCTTTCTGTCATCGCCTGCTTTGTTTTTGGGGGACCAGGTCATCTTGTTCTCTTTTTTTAGTCTCCTTCTAGCATTGGCAAACCAGGTAGACACTTGCGTGAGAGTCATTTTGGTGATAATGGCCAGCATGATCTTCTCACCCTTTGTAGGATATGGGTTCTTCCGATGTTCATAAAGCCATGTTTTAAGAGTGCTTGTTGTCTCCCTCGTGGCATTTTTTCTCCGGGTTGACCCATTAAAATCAACTGTCCCATACCTGAATCAAATTAAAATGTGACATCTTTAAAATGGTTAACAGAATGTGTTTGAAGCAATATATATTATTTATCAAGATATCATATTAGAGGCGGGACAGATACAAATCTCACCTGTCATACTGATACTGGCCCAGTGAGTGGTCATATGGATAGTAGGCAGCGGGTTGGGTTATAGTGCCATGAAGACTGCCTGACCCCTCCTTTATTTCATATTGTGGGTTCTAGAGATGAATAAATAATAATAATAATAATAATAATAATAAAACTTTCATTTTTAAAATGCGATTTAGCTGTCATATATCTGGCACTGAGCTAAGCACATTTATTATTTAGAAACAGTACTTTATCTCTTTTCTGTCCCTAAATTATAACTTTGCTAAGCTATACACACATTTCCGTTTATTTATTGTAAATTAAACCAAGTAAGCCCTTTTACAGCAAGCAAGACGACCATGTCGCTTCATTCTCTGTTTATTTCTTTTGATTATTCAAAGTTATTTCACCCGACAGCTAGACAGCATGGTCCTCTTACCAAGCCAAAATAA